AAAATGTTCAATGGATGCCGCTATCCAATTCCTATAAAGAATTGCTCACTGATTCCGAGAATCGACTTAATTTTTATTCTATGGATAAGTTTTCAAAATATTTTCAATTTACCGCTTTTCAGCTTAAAACAAAAGGTGGTTACACTTAATCACATATATCTTACGATCTATTGAACAATCTTAATATGAAATACGGCAAATCAAAGCTAACAAAATTCTAGATTGACCGTATATACATCACTTTTCGATAGATCTGATACATAGTTTCTGACAAATTAATTAATCATTCCAGACTTTTTTTTATGTAAATATGAAAAAAACACTTTAACAAAAGAAAAATTCAAAAAATAGCGGGTTCTGTGTCAAATTTGTGCTAACGCCCATACATACTTACTTTTTAAGAAAAACTGCGTTACACCGTCAACAAAAAAAGTGCCAAAAATATCTTAGCGATATCAAAATTAAACTTTATTATACTAAAATCTAACGAATTTCTTAACAAATTTTGCGGGTTAAAAATCTCGAGAAGAATATCCTACAAATTTGGGATGCCACTATAAGGATGCTGTTTCAGGGGTAATACATCTAGGATCTTAGGGTTTAAGATCTGTAAGTTTTTGTGGAAAACATTTGCAAAATTATTTTTTGTCCCATATTCGGATCCCATAAATATGGTCACCGTACATATGAGTAACATTATTTCGTGCTCATTTCTCATACAAAAGATCTTTGGGCATTTTCATTTGGCCACTCATTACTTCTTTATTTATCAATCGATTTGCTTCATTATATAGTACCTTCATTTTTTTTAAGAACAGGCTTAAGCCCAACTGCAAGAATTTGACACAGAACCTGTTATTTTTCAAATTTTTCTCCTGTTAAAATATTATTTTTTCCATCAAAACAAACTGGAGTGATTAATTGATTTGTCCGAAACTATCAGTCCTATCGGACTGTATAGACGGTTTATCGAAAATTTTGGTAGCTTTCATTTGCCGCATTTCATTGTAGGTTTGTTAAATTGGTTCATGAGATACATATAAGTGACTAAGTGGAACCACCCTTTGTTTTAAGCTGAATACCGCCTTAACTAAATAACATAAACTGTTTCTTAAAGATACTTGACATCCGCATCCGCGGAAATAAGCCTTTAGACTAAAATTCAACATCCCTAGTATACATATGGGCAAATCTAAAAAACAGGTAACCTTTGTGTTAATTAGCTTTATTTTCACTGTTGTAAACTAAATCCAGCTGGTTGCTTTTGGATATAATTCATTGACGTATACTTGAAGCCTAAAAAAAATTTTTTTTGATGAATTTGCTGCATAACTTTTGAATTTTAGGTGTTTAAATTAAATA